GGGGGGGGGGGGGGGGCCAACCTTGAGAGAGGAGACTGCCCAGAGAACTGTGAAGGCCTCCCCAACCTTGACTGGAAGGGATGTCCAGGGTTAACATCCCTGTCAAGGGAGCACTTGCTAGATCCTCTGCCTTTCTTAAACCTCCCCCATCCACCTAAGGCTCCAGGACAAAGCCACCCCAGGGCCACCCCCTCCCCATGACAGAGCTGGCCCGTACATTAAGGGCCACTCCCACTGCCTGGAACATTCTTCTCACTCTTCTGCCTGGTGCATCCCTATTTGTCCTTTGCAAGATTCACATGGCACCCCTCCTGTAGATCCCTTCCCAATCCACATCTACCAAAGTTGCCCCTGCCTTGTCTGTACCCCTGCCTTTCCCACCAGCTCAGTGCCTCTCAAGAGGGTCCCTGGGATGATTGAGGAGAGTCTCACCACCCACCAAACAAGCCCAGAGAGGCAGATGACAAGGAGCCTAGGGCCAGCTCTCTCAACCTTTCCTGGCAGGCGGATTTCACACCACACCTTCCTTCCCCCAGCGGTGGAGAAAGGGGTCCCTAGAGTGGGTGAGAGGAGCAGGCTGACCACAAGGCCAGAGTAGAAGCTACTACTTTGCTCAACACTGTCTTGTAGGTAATGGGGAACCAGGATTCAACCCTGGGTTTCGGTGTGGACAAGGCATCTTGGTGGGATCAAACTCCTTCCATAGCTGATAGCCCCTGACTTTTGCAGGGACACCTGTCCAACAGGTAGAGGTGCCACCCCTCTACCTATGGAACGGAGTGGGAAGACCTGGGGATTCTGGAGACAGGGCAATTCAGGGCCAAACCTCTGCAGCTGCCTGGCTGAGCACTTATAGTCCACCACTTCCTCTGTTTGAGCCTCAGTTTCTCACCTGTAAAATGGGCCACAGCACATGAGCCCCTCCAAGAAATAACTGAGCTCCTGTAAAATGCCTGGCACATAGGGAGACGCCGGGTAAGCTGGCACTCCCTCCTGCTCGTCGTCTGGCGCTGCCTGCCAAGCCCAGGGAGCCAAGGGAAGGGAACAGAAGGAATTGCCCAATTCTGACAGCCTTTCCCTACGCCTTGGCTGTGGAAGTGTAAATACTCGACGGAGAGCCTCCAACTGCCTGTGTTTGTGGATCTCTGGCGCGCACTCCAAGTTTGTTTCTAAACTGGGATGCTTTGAGAGGCAGTGCAAACAGCCCTTCTGCCCACCTCCCCCAGATCTCCCCCAATCTGCTGTTGCTCCTCTGTCCCTGGAGACTTGTATGTTTAACAACACCATTTCAGCTGGAAATACCATCTCCCTGCCAAGCCCCCAAAAGCAGTTTCACTGATATTTATTGACCTGTTAATCTAGCTAGAGAGCCTGTTAGAAGAACAGGAAAAACACCTGCTGCATAGACTGGGGGCCTGGCTTCTCATAATGACCCCCATACACACTCTTCTCTGTCTCACCTGCCCTGTGCCACTGAAGCAATGACACAGTTTTCAAACCTTTTCCTAGAAATGTGATCACAGCAGTTTCATCCACATCCGACATTGGCAGTAATTGCTGGAAGGGACTTGGGAGAATCACAGTACTGGCAGCAGGATGCCTGCTGGGGGATCCTCTGGGTCTCTGCAGTGAACAGGGCCGGTGCTGGGGTGTGGTGGGGAAAAGAGAGCTGGTGCCTGATGTGCATCAAAACTGGCCCCAGGCAAAGACACACTTGATTCAGGCCTTTCACTTGGCACTGATGGACCTGACTTGCCCTCCATTCACTTGACGAGCACCACACTGTGCTTGTCAAAATCATCTTAAACACCTGAAAGGAGAATGGGGCAGGCAGGAGTTTGGGCTTGGCCAAGGCCCCTCACCTTGGGGTTGAACAACGGGATACCCTGGACTTGGAGGAGCAGCAGGCAGCAGCTCCTATGCACCTTCCCTGGCTGGAGGTGGGACACCCACGTTCTCCTGAGCAGAAGTAGCCTGTGTGAAGGCTGGGGGCCCACGTCTCTCTGGGGACCTTGGGAACTTCAGCCTACTGGCTGGATATATGGTGGGATTCAGGGAGGTATTCTCTTGAGGACCCCTTTTGAAAGCAGAAAGCTGCTCTGTCTGGGAATCTTGCGCCCTCAGGCACTTGCCAGGCTACATGGGCAAAGCTCTGAACACCTGTCCTTGCGGGGAGGAGCATCACAGGGACAGCTGGCACTGCCTCTCTCCCTCAACTCACAGGGCGCTGGGGATTTAGGTCAGAGGACTGCAGTGGGGGTTGGAGGGAGTCTGCCTTCACCCCTCCATTACCCAAAGGCATTCAGCCCCGCCCCTGGTTACCACGACTCCGCCCCCTCCGGCCTTGGGTCAAGGCAAGGTCCGTCGCCACGGCAACCCCGGTGACGTCAGATGCCAGGCAGTGACGTCACGCCACGGCCACGCTGGGGAACCCGCCGTCCTTGTGAATTATTTGTGGGAACGCAGGCTGGAAGGGCGACCCTGCTAGGGTCTAGCCCCGGAGGGCACAATCCTCAAACGCGGCCACCTGTGTGGCTGGGACCACCACATCCCCCTCTGAGCCGATGTCCCTTGAAGATCTCACAGGCTGCTAGGGAGACCCTCAACGACGTCCCATCCTGGGTGCCCCCCAGCCTCTCCAAGACGCGGGAGTTCTCGGGGAATTTTCGGAGGACGGAGCTGCTACCTTTGTCTGTTAGCTTTACAGGTGGGGTGACCTTTCCTCTCCGGCATCTGCCCCGCCCAAGGCTCCACGGCATCCTCACAACAGGCCCCCACCCTCCACTCTGGCCGGCTGGCCAGTCCGAACAAGTTGTGGGAGGAAAAAGGCGGACAAGGGGCACCGCTGCTTCAGGATGCCTAACAGGCTAGAGCCCCTTTAGGTCCAATCCGGCCTGCCCGGACGCCAGGGGGTGCCCCCAGCTCCAGCCCGGAACCCCGCCCCGCGCAACTCACCGGATCAGCCAGGCCGTCGAAGGGCACCAGGTCTCAGCGGCCACAACGTTCCGCTCGGGGGGTCGCAGCCATGCAGGGGTGGCAGAGGCTGCCTGAGGAAGACTCCCTCGGGGCCGATGCTTCTCTCCGAGTGGGAAGGGTCGCTATAGGTGACGGCGATCCGGGCTCCGGCCCGCGCCGTCCGAAGTCTGGGGGGTTTCTCCGCTCAGCGGAGGTCGCGCCCGCCCCGGACCCGTGCTGCGTGGGCGCTCAGACGGCGCATCCTCTCCGGGGCCTGTGCTCGCTGCGTCCGGCGGGCGGCGCTGCGCCTCCCCTAGGGGCCCCGCTCACGGCTGCAGCTCGGCCCGCGCCGCTCCCAGGGCGCCCTCTCCTCCCGCGCTGGGAGCCCGGCGGCCGCGGCCCCTCTCGCCAGTCCCAGCTG